CGGTCCCCCCATGTCAAAAAAAGCCCGGTCTAGGTAGGGTTAAGGAAAGGACGTTTTTATAGCAAGCATTTCAACTTAAGGTTCCATCATGAATCCGAAGTTGTACTACAGGACCGTCTAGGACGGCCACCCCTCCCCTTCTTAGCCCCCAGTCTAACAGTTACCTGATACCTGGATAATCTTTTGACTTTTGTTGGCGTCAGTGCATTCACGGCGGTCACGCGCCAAGTATCACTGGTACACCTGCATATTTGTGTTCAGTCAGGTGTGTTTACTTGGGCGGTATCGGTGGTTACTGAGAAGGCCCCCAAGAAGTGTGAACAAAGGACGTTGTTGTAAGTTCTTCTGTTACATTGTAATTAACGAGTCGCACGCTGGACTTTTAGGAGCTTCGTACTTTATTGTGTTGCCTCCAGGACTCCTAGCACCAGAGTGACGTTGTACTGCTCTACTTCTAAGATAGGGGGTTCTTGTGTGGTAATGAAAAATGGTTGTACATCTGTGCATGAAGTTACGATAATTGTTAAACTGAACTTTTTGTGGCTCTTGCTGATGTTAAACATGATGCTGACTAGTAAACCAGTGCCCTTAAAGAATCCCATTTAAGCTGAAAAACATTTGACCCTGAAATGCATCATAATGCAGCCTAATATCCCCCCCCCCCTGCCCCTCCCAAATAAAGTTTGTTGCATATGATCTTTCCTTTGTTATCTTAACCTAGACTCAATTAAATAAAACGGTTGTCCTACCTTTAAGGGTGGACCTACATGTACTGTTTCTTCAGAGAAAGATGGAAAGGACGTCTTTGTTGCAAGTTTCAGTCACGAGCCTTTCACTGTGTAGCAAGCATTTCAACTTCAAGGTTCAATCATGAGTCCGAAGTTGTACTGAGGGACCGTCCGGGACGACTGCCCCTCCCCTTCTGAGGCCCCTGGTGTTTACCTGCGTACCTGGATAACCTTTGACTTTGGTTGGCGTCAGTGCATTCACGGCGGTCACGCGCCAAGTATCAATGTTACACCTGCGTGTTTATGTTCAGGTATCATGTCTCACCTGCGTGTTTACGTTCCTTCAGGTGTGTTTACCTGGGCGATATCGGTGGTTACTGAGAAGGCCCCCAGTAAGTGTGAACAAAGGGCACGTTAGTGCTTGGTATTTTGCGGTTAATTGTGGCCTCTGTAGATTAGTGAATGAAGTTTTTGAACAGAACTTTATTCAGCTTTTGCTGTTATTATGCTTTATGCTGGCCAATATGCCCTTAAAGAATCTCATTTACGCTGAAACAATTGCGCCCTCGTGTGTGTGTGTGTTGGTACATACAAAATAAACTAAACGTATGATATGATTTCTTAACTATTTTCTGG